CTCCCAGAGCACTTCTTAAGTTGCCTTGGTTTCCCCTTCCTTTTAGTTTGGAATTATCCCGCAATGTTCGCGCGTAGCTTTTTGGTTGCGTGCGCTGTCAACCAGTCCACCTGGCAGGAGGAAGTGCTGCGGCTGCTTGCCAGCGTCCTTCTCGGCGTGGCAGCATTTGTCGTGGGGGGGTTTGAATTTTCTGCTGTGCGTAGGACGGCTTGCGTTGTCAGCTTGCCTCCACCATCTTAAAAAGGACGCTGAATGATTGCACCGTTCTGTTTTGTAAAGCTATTTTGTAAAGCGTAAAGTCATGGACAGATGTCTTTTGGAAGACTGATAAAATCATAGATTTCTTCCTAGAATCACGCTTGTTTCACACAATTTTTGCCAGCACGTATTTCTTTGGCCTTTATGTTATGCATATCCACAGCCACGCATGATTCAGAGCATGGCAAAATTGTAGGACATTGTAGGCGAACAAAATAATTGCACGCGCCCTTTGGAACGCTGATCTAGTCTTGTAAGGACAAACTTGAGGTTCAAAACTATTGTGTGCTGCCAACACCCACTTTCTCAGCGCCCTTGCAGTTGGCAGCATGATTCTGTAGTTGTATTTTGCAAAGCATAAATTCATTGACGAATGTTTTCTGGAAAATTGATCGAGTCACAAATTCATGCTTAAAATGATCTGACTCATATGTGGTTGTGGATTTTGCCATATTGTGTAGACCGGCACGAATTCAGATTGTGCCTGTGCAGGGCAAACTCGCGTCCGTAGAGGACCGTTTCCGGCTTGTCGCCTTCCTGCCAGAAAACAAAATATTCTTCCCCTTCTTTGTTACGGAAGGTATGAGAATGTCATCTACAGCCGGAGGGTGCGTACGGAATTGTGAGTTCGCTGAAACTGAGGAGGACTATGCTGTTTGGATATCATTTTCCGATTTCATGTCGCCAAGAACGATTCATGGCCCAACACCTGGCCCGGGACGAAAAATGGTGACAGGACCCACAATTTGGTTGAAATCAATTTTTTCGGCCGAACCTTAAAACTTCCGGAGTGCTGATGCGTCTGAGAGCTCCACTTGGCTCCATCAGCTCTATATTTGTGTGGATTTCACACTGTTTTGATCTTATGCTTGGAAGGCCAAAGTACTCGCTAGTTGCACACGAAACTCGGACAGCTACCTTCATTTGGCAGGATGTGCTCGGAACGGTGAGGGCCAAAGACGGAAGCCCTCGTGACCCGGGTGTGAGATTTGGTTGTGACACAATTGGGTGAAAAGTATGCAGCGCGCATGTTTTTTTTTTGGTTGTTTGCGTGCTTGCAGATTGTGTGCTTGCTTTTGCGTAGGCCTGATGTCCAGTGGGTGTGGTAGTAGGTGCGAAAAACCCGCGGCTTGCTGTCATTGGATCTTATGCGACAGGGCACAGGTGTCACGCTCAGAGCCCCTCTCCTTCTACATATCTCTGAGGCTTGCACTGCCAGGGTGCCATCTGGCTGTACACCAAACTCGGACAGCTACCTTTTTTTGGCAGCAAATGCTCGGAATGGTGACTTCCAAAAAACGATGAGTGGCCCATCTTTAGTATCAAAGCCGCTGCGTATGTCGGTTGTGAAAATGCGGAATTACCTGCACATTCATGATCAGTGGGGGCTGGCAGTTTCGAGCGCGCAGCGGCGTTTGAATGATGCTGGTGTTTTTTTTGTGCGGGCGCTGCGTTGCCTTCACTTTGTACCCACGCCGCATTTGCCGCGCGCAGTGTGACAATGCCTTTCGGACAGACAAGTGATGCCAGATAGAAGCGTTCGTAATGGCGCGGCTGGATGTTAAGCCGTGACAACTTGTTGCGGTTTGCCCAGACGTTGTTCTCGCCTGCCAGTTTCTTTTGCCATCGCGTCGGCTGCGGCTCTGCAACACAGCACAGCAGCCTACCGTAATGCGCGCTTGACACGTAAAAAAAATCACGTGCGCCAAGTCAACGCTAATTGACTTTCGTTGCAGAGGTGGAGCCCACGCCTTCTGGGGTCGGACAGGGAGTCCGTTGTTCATGTACAGGCGACATGCGCGCGAGGCACGTGGCCTTTACCCAGCTTCCTGGTGCGCTCCAAGACACGCGAGCCAGTCCAGTGCAGCCGGCCCATCAGGCTTGGTACTGTACACCTCCAAATCGACCCCTCCTCGGGAATTTCTTGAAGAGCCTCCACCAGACTCCACCAGCTCATCTGCACGACCGGCCTTGTTGCCAGCAAGAACCAGGCAGCACAAGATATTTTTAGATACTCCAAGGCGCCCCAGTTCAGGGCTAAGGAAGCCTTAGCACCATGTAACGGAGTGGGTCAATGTTCGGTGGCAAGGCAATTTTTACACGTTAAATGAAGCTGTGGCTGGCACGCGCCCATGAAATAATCCTAGCGGTTCCACATCAAATCTGCCTGCAAACGTGTTTGGGAATTTGGGGTACCCGACAAATTTTTGAAAGTCAAATTGTAAGTTAGGGCGTTTGCCTGAAGGCCCAAATTTTAGTGTTTAGGTTTTGGGTTGAAGCGTAGATAATTCACGAGATGCCCTTCATTTATCTTTCGCAAAACATGACACCATTTTTTTTGCAAATGCAAGCCATCCTACAGCTTGCCTATTGCAAGACGTTACGCATATTTCAGTTAATTCATGTCGCAACACAATTTCACATTTGTTTTTCAAGTTACCATGCTACTGTTCTTTGCGGTCTTTGACAAAGTCGTCGAGATTCACGTGCGATCTTATATATTCCGCGTATTTCTGCGTGATTTATCTCTCTTTGGTTGTCGGCGCGGCTGGTCGGAGGAGCGCGTAGACCCAGGATGGAGAATCAAAATCGTTTAGAATTTAGAGGTTGCCCGTGTCTGTTCACGGAGATTTATGTCTCCCCCGAGTCACCGCTCCAAAATCTCTTAGAATCTATCAGGTTGGCATTGGCCGTATCTGTTCACGGAGATTTATGCGCTCCCCCCCGAGCCGCCGCTCCAAAATCTTTCAGAATCCATTAGGAACTTAAAGGTTGGCCGTGTTTGTTCACAAAGATTTATGCGCTCCCCCGAGCCGCTGCTGAATCTATCAGGTTGGCCGTAAGATTGTCACGTACAATCTTATATATTGATTAATCATCGAGATTCATTTGCGATCTTATATGTTCTCGCACGATTTATCTCTCTTTGATTATCGGCGCGGCTGGTCGGAGGAGCCTTGCAGCACACACGGCCCCCGGATCAGACCGAGATTGAGATTGGTGGAGAAATCAATGGGCCAAGCATTTGCAGTGATTGCATCAATATGTTTTGAATGGCTTGAATTTGTGATCGAGGAATTCTGCTTGTGACGTGGCAAGTGTCGACGGATAGAATTTGCAAACATGAAGATCCAATTTCCTTCACGATGTTTTTGACCCTCAAATTTCTCCAGTCTCAATTTGTTTGGGGACAATGTCGTCGCACTAGTGTACTTGGTACTGAATTTGGATTTCACTACATTTGTATGAGCATCATTTCCACAACAGATACGTGCATTCAACAGGATTGAACGCGCATTTTTTGAGCGAACGGTTGTAACCCACTTGCGACGATTTTTGCGAGTCAGCGGAACGTGCTTTTGTGTGTTGTGTACGATGTTTTCCTCCCGTTTGTGCTTGACCTATGCACATGGAGCCATGCCAACGTCCACATTTGTGGACAAAGCGTGTTCATGCTGTCAACGGTTCCCATTTCGAAGTACCATTCTTATGGCTGAGGATGGACGAGGTCATAATGTGCTTTATATCCCGCTTTTGTTGATTGTCAGGGGCGGATCTGGTCTCCCTGCATGATTTATGTGTGCTAAGCTCCGGCTCTGCAGTTAATTTTAATGAAACAGACACTTTTAAAGTGTGAGCGTGCAGTTTTTCAATTTGATCGGAAAGTCACATTGTATTCTGTTTCGCTAGGATCGGTGAAGTGACGGGGACTCCCAACGACACACCGGAAGCATATCAAGTTCACGACGCAGTATGACATTCTCGCATTCGCTATTGTAGGTTTCCAGAAAAAATCCAGACGACCAAATTTGTCTGCCATGTTGTCAGCAGCAGACATGGCCACACTTGTGTTGGCATTGTTTGGCCATCCACTGAGCCTGGGCTATGATTCCAACTTGTTTGGTGCAGGTATGTGTCCCGTTTTTATGTTTACAAGTTTATGCAGATTAGTAAATCCAGCACAGCGCTTCCAAAGCCGGGTACAGACCTGTTGCCAGTCTGGAGGATGTAAGTCAATCGCGGTTGTTTCTCCGGTTTCCAGGTGGATATGGGTCGTACGGATGTGTACCAGATTCTGATTAAGAGATGTTGTACTTTGTCATGAACCAAGGAAAAATGTGTTCACACAGCCATTGGTCATGGGTCCATTCCCATATCCGTTGCTCCTTGTGGCGCTGAATCAGTTGTCCAACCTGTTTGTGGGGATATGCGCAGCGTGTATGGGGTGTCTCAGTGTGAACAGATCAAACCTATCTGGCCGCCAGTATGCGCTCGTCTACGGCCCCATCTCTGCGCTGAGGTTCAGCTTCAATGCATGCCGGACCATCAGCTTAATGTATCTCACACTTCCCATGTTTGCCATAGTTTCTTGTATCAAAACGCCCCTCACATATGTGGTAAGTACTGTGCTGGGCACAGAGAAATGCACGCTCAAAATGTCTGTAATGATGTTGTGCGTTTAGCTCGCCACCCTGTCAGCAATTCTGTTTGGTCCGTATGAATTTGATGAAGCATCTGTTGCACTCATTCCCGGCATATGTTTTTCCCTTGGAGCGGCTTGTTCGGATATTGCCTTGAATATCCTTATACAGAGGGCAGCCAAAGATGTGCCCTCGCTGGAATTGTTGGCGCACACCACTCCGCTGTATTGCTTGTTGGCTGTGATAGGCGCTCTGGTGTTCGAAGCTCGGCAGCTTCATGAAGCTGGTGCTCCACGCCTAACACTCTCGGCATATATATTCATGACAGCCACCTGCGTGTTGAGCCCAGTGCTTGGTTATGCAGATTGCGAAACGGTTGGGCAGTTCGGAGCTGTCGGCTATGCCTTGCTAACCCGGTTTCATGGAGTTCTCGTATTTGGCATTGGCGTCTTGGGTTTCAAGCAGGAATATACCTGGGTCCAGGTTGCCAGCTATTCTGTGCTCATCCTTCTCTTAGTCCTCGCTGCACACTGGAAGGCTCAAGACAGAAAGAAAGCCAAGGAGGCCGCTGCAGCATCTTCCGCAGATGCCACAGTCCTGGGCAGTTCCAGCGAAAGCCAAGAGGAAAGCGAGGATGAGAGCCAGACTGAAGGTAATAGCATCACCGATTCGCGGAGATAGGAAAAGATCCGACGTGAACGAGGGGCTGTTGAAAGGTATCTTTGCACATGTTTCTATGCATTATGAGTATGGGACATTGTTGAGATGACAGCTTGCTCGCACGAAGATGTTGCCTCGATCCGTCATTTCAGGCCACAAGCTTTGTGTCTCCATCCCGTAAGGCTGACACCTGCTTCGGCTTATGTCATAATTGAGATAAGTTGCATATCAGAATGTGAACTTACACCTTGTGTCCATCGCTGCAGCCAGCTTGTTGCTCAGTTCCATTGAGCACGCAGACTTAGCATGTACAGCGAAGGCATAAGCCCTCAACTTGCAAATGAGACTGCTGCCTTGGTTCAGAGTCTTCTGAGGGTTTGCTGCGAGCAGTGGCCAAGTTGCATTTTGATACCTTTCTTCCGGTCTACACTGCCAAGCTCACAGCGTTGCTCTGATACTAAAGTGTGTTCTGACTGTTGGAGAGTGGGCTGCGTGCCATGAAGCTACAAGGTTTACTTTGAGGCAGAGTTTGCATGAAGTGGTTTCAGCCAGTTGACAGTTATCAATTAGAGAAGGTTGCTGTCAAAAGTTCATTTGTTCTCGCTGGCATTTTTCAGGGAGTTTGCAGAGCAACCTGCAAGAGTTATGCGATCAGGAAGCATATAACTAGACCTTTGTTTTTCTGCGACCCCTGGATCCTGCTGGTGCGATTTGCAGTTCCTACGCAGCCCTTTAGAGCCGTACCAGCGGAAATGTCTGAAAAAGCGTTTTTCTTTCATCTGGCCCACGAACCTCTAAACCCTTGTGCAACTACAAGATAGATCCAAATCCCCTGAGTCCAGAACATTTGTCACATTCTTGTACAAAATATATAGTCGCCTCACGATTCCCTACGTAGCCTGTAGTATGAAATCTTCAATTTCAAGACCAGAGGTGGGGGCTTCAGGTGTAGTAGCACATCCCACATCATCCCCCAAACTCTGACTCCCCCAAATCCTAAAGTTCTAAGCCAAGGTGGGAAGATACACAGTGGAGCGAAGACCGAGTAGAAGATGCTTTGCAGGCGGCGAGGCAGCGCTTTGCCTGCCGCCTACAGGCCGCCCTGAGGATGGAGACTGTGTTGTCCTTGATGGAAGATTGCAATATAGGGATAATGGAAAAGAAAATGGAAACTACTATAGTATATTGGGGTTATATAGGGGTAATGGAAAATAAAATGGAAACTACTATAGTATGTTGGGGTTAATGGAAGATTGTGAGGGACCTATGTCGCAAGCAGGTTCTCTACCGCAATGGCCTTAGGTTTACGGTTCGGTTGCATGAGATCTCTGCTAACTTTAGCTTGTTCATGAGGACCAGAAGACGAAAAGAGAGTTTTGCATTTTGCAGAACAGCTCAGGAGAGGATTGTGCCAGATGCAGAGGTTTCCTTTCAAGACGGGACTTTTCATCTTCAGTCGGAGGAGTTTGGCATTTCGAAGAAAGAGGCGATGACACTTCAAAGGCTTCTGGACAAAATCGCCGTCTGTGCGGGCCAGAAGCTTCCAGAGACTCTCATCCATGAGTCGCAGTGTTGTATCCTTTACGATGCTATGGCCATGCTTTTCCAGGAAAATGTGTGGGATGGCCGTAGAAAACAAAACCTATGGCGCTTTGTGTACGAGGAGCTCGATGCCCAAACTCACAGCCCTCTGGCTCAATAGCTCCAAGGTGGCTGTGAAGGAGTAAACCTTTTGAAGAACACGTTCAGGGTAGTCATCTTCTTGATCAACCCATCCCGCTTCCTTCTCCAAGGTAAGCTGGCGTTTTGGGAGAGCTTTGCGGCTTTCGGGGGCCATCCGACCCATGTGATGTTCAAATCAAAGCTGGACATCAGCACCGGCCAGCCCCTGGGACTCCGCGAGGTTGGAGCGCCTCAAACCTCCATCATCTCCTATTGTCATAAAACAAGACCACCCGTGAGGATGGCGCGAGGGATGTTCGGGGATCATTTGGGAATATTTGTGAAGGGGTTCAAAGTATAACTTTGCCTTTGATATCCGCATCAAATTATGATGCGGATATCAAAGGGACCTAATGGGTCAAAAGGGCATCCTGTCACTTTGAGAAGGCTTCTAGCATGAAAGTTAACCAAAAAACCCGCCTTGAAGGAACCTCAAAGCGCGATTTGACAAGCCTGCACATAGCCAGGTCTTGGACTACTCTCCAGAGTTCGAGCGATCTGTCCCCTTGCGACTGCTCGCTGCACAGTGCGAGGCCAAAGGTGACCGCTCAAACAAAACAAATTTCCCCAACAATTTAAAATGGAAATCCATCGTGTCGATTGTACATAAAGTTGAAATATCATTAGCCTTTGTCGCCCTTTGGGCTTGCATATTCCTTTGGGTGTACAACCCAAGCATCAGGATTTCTTGTAGCATCACGGCAAACTTCCAGGTCATGATTGCTTTTCCATCAGCACAGGAGTGGCAAGACTTTTGGTGGACCCATCACCCACAGGCCATGGAGGTTTTGGCAGAAGAGGTGGGAAAAGCACACATGAACGAGTATGTGATGCTTTGGGTGCATCCGCTGAACGTGGAGAACCTTCGGAAGACACTCCCACGTCACTTTGAAGAGAAGTCCTTGCGAATCCTGCAGCAGCAAGGCTTTGGGCAGGCAAGGCCAACTTTGTCATTTCGTACCTTGGACGTACCTGATGGCTATTACGTCAAGCTGCCTGTGCCACTGCAGCTGACGTCCTGGCCGCGGTATGTGTCTCCCGTGGAGATCCAGGAGAGTGCGGTGCTGTCGAAGCTTTTGCCGAAGCTTGATCTTACCTCCAATCTGGTGATGCTCCCGGAAACTTGGACTTGCCACTTGAGTTTTGAAGACACGCAAGGGGTTGCAACTTATCCACAGGCACGCTATTGCAGCATGCTAGTGCGTGATTCTCCCTTACCTTTAGTTCGAGATGGGCATCGCTTGGTGCCTCTGGCAGCTACCTTTTCAACAACCCCAGCAGGGTGCATGCTTTGGGAAGAGATCTGGGCCACAGCAGGCATAGGATGCAGTGAAATCTTGAACTGGTTTGCTAGGTATGTCCAGGTTGTCGCTGAGTGCCAAATCATTCCATTTCTGCGGTACGGCTTGATCTTCGAGGCACATCAGCAGAATGCTCTCGTCGAGCTCTCGCAGAATGGTTGGCTTACACGCTTGTTCTACCGGGAGATAGGTGGAGGTATTGAATGGGATCGGCAGCGCTTGGATGCTTTTCCTGATCTGGACTTTTCCTCGCAGCTGTACGCCAGGCACGACATGTTCATACCGTTGCAGACATGTCACAGCAACCTGAGGCACACACTCCTTGAGAGTCACTTGCTTCCACTGGCTGACAAGTGCTCTTCGCACTTCAGCGTTGCAACCGAACAGCTTCACGACATCATACGGTTAGAGTTGTCAGCCACCATTCGGTCGGCGCAGCCAGCTGCGGACGACTTGTGGAAAGTGGAGCAATTCGAGGAATACGCCGGATTGCTTCGCGCCAGTCTCCTGGAAGAAGCATGCTGCAAGCGTAAAGCCTTGTTGCGCATGCGTCTGAGCAACACAAAGGATCCTATCTTCATCCAGCACACGAACAGTTTGGCGTTGGTCTCCCATAAGGAGCACCAGCAAAAGACAAACGGAAACACTGAACAGTTATTGCCAAAACACTGAACAGTTATTGCCAGCATCGAAGCCGCGAGCTTCTTGTGCACATCTCTGGAAAGCGCTGTTGCAGCAGCCTTGAGTCGGACCCTTCTTCGACCTTTTCATAGCAAATTCATTCCAACAACGCATTGTTTTTGAACGACTTGACGGGTTGCCGAGGAGCAGCTCTGTGCCTTTGTTCGTTTTAGTTTCGGGCAGCGAGGATTCGCTATGCGCAATGCGCGCCTCGGTTTGTAAAAACAATTGATTCTTTTGTCCCAGCACCACGGGGCCCTGCAAAGCTTGGCTCCGGACTGCTACATCCATCTCAATGTAGAGAATCGAGATGTCAACACGCCTGCGTGCATTTGAAAATCAGCCTGGGCATGACGCTGCATTGCTGGCTTCCTGGATTCACATCCCTCTGGGTCTTCTGAATGCCCCACGTGGCCTGCGGCATCTGCATTGCAAAGAGCAGTATAGAGCGGGAAACGACTTGCAAACTGTCCGTTATAGGTGTCAGCAAGTATTGATTGCGTGTATGATGTGCAACGTTTCCTGTCTTTTTTGCAAGCTTTCAAGCAGGTGTGAAGATGCGCTTGGATGCATAAACACAGACTTGAACATCAGAGCAGTGGGAGTACGGAATGATGACCCTCAAGCCTGCAACTGTTTTCCAAGCGTCCCAAAATGCAAACCCTGATTCCATTGTAGCAGCCCAACTGCGATGCAATTCTATGCCATTGTTAGCTTTAAATCTTGCCTTCATGCCCCAGCCATCCCAGAAGGCCTGTTCATTGCAGCTGAGCAAAGCTTCCGTGACCTAGTGCAAAACCCAACTCTAGTCCAGAAGACAGCATCCAAACAACAGATAGATAAAGCTTGTATCTGAGAGCAGCCATGGCGCTTTCACTCGGGTGCGCAGGGAAAGGGAGGAATTTGCGCAGCTAGACGATTTCGTCTAGCCTGGCTTTTGCTAGTTGAAAGGGTTGATCCCTCCCCCAACGCAGGTAAGTGCAATTCCCCCAGATCATGCTCAGGGTTTTCGTGGCAAGGGGTATTTCAGCCTTGCCCAGCTTCGTGGCAACGCTTGCTTGGGCTCGGTTATGCCGTGTAATATGGTTATTCTCTCTGTTCTTACATGTTTTGTGCATGCGTGACCATCATTGCACGGTTGTGGTTCCAGCGCTGACCCTTTCTTGCCACAGGTCTTACGAAAGTATCATGATAACTTGAGCTAAACCTGAAAGCGCAAACCCCCAACCAAAAGTCCTGACCTCGGCAGGCAGAGCTTAGTGCTCTACCTCCTGTTCATGGTGGCGGCTGTGGCAGGCCAGAGACTCAACCTGGAAGCCATTCATCGCTTGGAATGTTCTTGGGCTGTCAAACTTGGTAATGCGCAGTGTGAGTGTTTTTCGGCCAGAACTGGCCGACCTAGGAGCAAGACTTGTAGATGTAGGGGTTTGTACAAGGCTTCGTAGGGCATAGGTCTTTGCTCTGGCAGTCCTGTGCGGGTAGCGGGCCTGCTGCCCAGGTCAGGATGCTTTGGAATTGAAACTAGACGTGGGCAATGGTTGTAATTTCATCATAATCGTGGCGTGGTGCTAGTTTCGCCAGTTGCGGTCATGTAGATGTGGCGTGCTGGTCATGTTGCCTGGAGCTATAACCAGGACCAAAACAGATGGAACTTACGATGCTATGTCCCATTATGTCCTCGGCCCGCAGCCCTGCAACTCGACGCGCCAATAAATGGAATCCCAATCACCATTGCGGAAGCCTGACAACCAAATCACTAAAAGGTAGTTTCCTTAAATGAGGGGACCTGAATATAGACCCCAAAATACTACAGTCCTGATATTTGGGACCCCAAAATGGAAGCCCTAATTTTGGAAAACTCCCAAATCCACCATGGAGGAGTCTGGTACTTCGTGACAACAGCTCCGCCGCTTCCACAGGCTTTTTGAAGCGATATAGCTCGGTGTACTGTAACTGGTTGCAGCGGCATCATCGGGATGTGCATCTCAAGAAGGCCAAAGAAGGAATTAAGTTTCCTATCTAGACTATCCGCATCTCTGGGGTCTGTAGAGGCAGTATGAATGTATCTTGGGAAAGATGAAGGGATTACCTGCTCCGTTTTGTCAACCGCAGTTGTCAACAACGTCAACAACTAATTTTGCATCAGTTGCTTTGCCTTCATGCTTTTTTCGGGAGCTCATAGACATTCACGCCCCACATTATTGTATGACCTCAGTCCTGATGTTTCGTGTTGATTTTGCCAAATGGAAACATCCCCTGAAGCTGTAATGAAAACTGCAGCATGTCCCTACACAAAAAACACTTGGACTAGAGACAGTATTCAGGTGTTGGTATCAACAAAATCGTACCGCAGTGGCAGACAACTCTTGATAATCGTGACTTGTAAACCAACGCCAGGCGGTCAGCGTACTGGAACAAGCATCAAAACAGCTGACGAGACAAGTAAGCCGATCACTCGTTTGGAGGCGCAGTGTTCTGAGATAGTGACCCCCATGGATGTCATTCGCGGCAAGCTGGTAAGGTCCTCAGGACTCAAGACTGCTGCGCGCAATGCAATGATACGCATCATCATGGCACAAATATTGAGTTGTAGTGGGGTAGTCGTCCCGTTGTAGAATTAGGAGGCACATGGCTTGCATCATGGAGTTTTTGTCCGAAATTCAGCAGGGACTCTAATGGCCAGAGGAGGGTAGGGACCAGATCCTGGTCAGTTTGTCCTAGATGCCCCTCGAGGGCGAGATATTGCTTTGGAATCCCCATTTGAGTTCCAGGCCATAGGACGCAGGATGCCATTAGAGCAGAGTCTGCCTTGAGCAATTGGCCACCACAATGCGTCCGCAGTTTCAACACTATAGACTGCATGCGCAAGCATCAACAGAACCCTACTGCTGCGAGACATGCAGCATCATGTGAGTTAGGAGAATGGCTCAAGCCATCAAAGAAAGCCTGCATCTACCCAGTAATGATACAGATGCCCACTGGATCTGTGAAGGTTGAAATTCCAATCTTGAATCATCAGCGTTGGCAGTTCAGGGTTTAGGCTTCCAGAACCTCAATTCATGCGCCCCACTGGGCCACGTGCACGGGATGACATCCGTGGGCTCCATGTCTCCACGCCGGGACCTCGCGGAGGCCTGTATACACCATTGTGGATGGAGGAACTCTACTTAATATTCCCCAAATACTGCAAGTACCATTATTGGGGCCATATAGGGTTGGGCAAGATGTCCTACATCCACGGTATCATGCAGTTTGAACTGAGGCTTTGCGAGGGTTGAGCGGTTCAGGCTGTTGAGGCTTGGAAAACAATCATGATTCTTCTCCCGTTTGTATTATGAAGCCATAACCTCGTGTGTCCCTTCTTGTACGTGTTTGGGTTTTGGTGCCAGATGAAGTAGCTGGTGAGATGGTCTCGATTGAATGCAATTTGTCATGCCCATGCAGATGCGAGGATTTTCCTGAGATACTCACGCAAGGCGGAAGCGGAGCGGATTTCGAGGCTAGAGCATCGAGCCATCTACCTAGCGGAGAAGCAGGCACTTTGCAGATACTTCTGTTAGTTTATCTACATAACAGTGATTCCTGGGAACACTTCTTTCACTCAGGATGGTGCGGGATTTCTTTCCGTCAGTTGCTTTGAGGGCATTAAGCAGTTATTGTTGCTATCTTGACTACCCTGTTACTTGTTGCAAGCCCGCTGTCAGACCTGTTCTTACGGGCCGTATGGGTGCTTGATTTTCAGGATTGCCGTGACCTTTAGCAGAAAGGCGTTTCAAAGAGGAACATTTTTTGGTCGGGTCCGTGCGCAAGGAATTTTGAAGCATGTGCCAGTTTTTGGAAGTGTAGATATACCACCTTGGCTATGCTAAAGTTCAAACCAAGCCCATCTTTGCTTCCGTTCAAGTCTTGCTGCTTGTAATGGATAAGCTTTAATGATAGTTCTCATGTACCTCCCCATCCTCCTGATAATTATCACTCCGTTGAATTTTGGAGGCTGAGCTCCAGATCATGCAGGAGCTCAGGTGGGTGCTTGCATTCGTCACTGCTTTGGATTACAGATCCAACGCTGCAGGGATCAGCACGCAGTGTGTCCTTGGATGTAAGCATGTAATGGCCTATGATGCGACGTAAGGATGTTGGTATCGTCAGAAGCTTCCTGCCTGCTTAGGCTTGAGGTATCCAGGCAAGCAGCGGGATGTTCGAGTAAAGCCAGGGTTCTTTTAATTTTCCAGGCAGATCGGAACTCATGACGAGGTACCTAGCAACGGTTGCACTAGCAACGATACCTGCAAAGGTCATGACCGATTCCACCGCTTTGATAAGAATGATGCGGACGAATACGATCCAAGGCATAGTGTTGATGCAGTCCACCTTGTCGAAGTCCTCAGACTGAGCAGAAACATTGCCAGCAGGGGCTGAAATTGAATAGGGGTAAGGCTGCATGATCTGCAGCTCCCCGCTGCTAGTTGGGAAGCAAGTTTCATTTGTACCTTCACGATTTGCTATTGGCTACCCGCGGCTGAGTTTTGAAGCTAGAGCCAACTGATTACACGGCACAACGAACTGCTAGCAACATGGGCTAGGGATCCCCACAGATGCATGAGTTTGGAGTACATAAGGCCGCCCACTTGAATGTGGTGCGTCAGGGGCCAAACCTTTAAATGTTGGAGCAAAGAGGTACCAAACATAGCAACCAGCCTGCACCGGTCGGTCGCAGCAGTTATACTCATCACCACTATAATAGTAACTTCCATTTTCTTTTCCATTATCCCAATACAACCCCTCTATGACTCCAATATAACCCCTATATATGAGGCAAGGAACCTGTTTGCTGCGTGCAGCATGGCAGGTCCCGACAGCAAGAGGACAAGGAAAAGGTGCCTGGACAGAAGGGGTAATATTGGGGTAATGGAAAAGAAAATGGAAATTACAATAATGGGTTATACAGTTTATATATCAGGGTTATCCTGGTGTTTGTTCTGGGAACGTGTGTCGGAGTCCTTTGTCTCCCTGGACAGCAATGCTGGCATATGCTGGTTTGGTATGTTCTCCTAAATTTGCGGCGCCCCTGTCACTTGGAGATTTTCCGGGACCAGATGGCTGGCTCAATGCAATATCTAAGTATCGCGGTTATTGCATTCTCTACGCGCAGGGTTGGCTGTCGTATGCTTGAAGGGTACTGTTGTGCTGCTGTTTCAGCGGCTTTTGCATCACTGACTCTGCTTCCTGTCAAAGGCGCTGCAGCGTCAATGCGAAGCTCACTTCCAATCTGTGCAGAAAGCTCGCCGCGAGGCGTGACATTACAAATCTGGACCTGACACTTTCTGATCGCACAGGTGGCACCTACACCCGCTGAACCTGTACAAAGTCCTGGTCGCTTTGATCTGATTGACAAGCTTCACAACTGCACCGTTGTACGTGCTTGGTAAAGCATTTGGCATCTAAGGAGAACATTCGAACCTAGCTTCAGGCATGCCGCTCCTGACATGCCAGAAAATTTCGAAACTTGCTCTAAAGCCCTAGTCAGCAGGCGGCTGCCAAAAAGAATGCTCGGCACGAGGAGGCCGGATTTTGGGCCGTTCTCGGCTCGCTAAGTCTTTAAGAGCCTTTCAAATAGTTTTGTATGCTAAAGGGTCCACAGAGGCTCGAGCACAGACTGTCCCCCAGCCCAGGGGGAGCCCGCTGAGCTTTCAATCAATCACTGCATCTGTTCAGGGGCCTTTTGGCCATTGTTTGTCAGTTGTCTTGCGTGTAGGCTACTTACAGTACGAATTACTTACGCTATGGCCGATGCCGATGCGCCGGCTGCAGCAGCCATGGCTTCGGAACCCTCGTCGTCTGACGTTCCACTCCCCGAGATACCACAACAACCGGAGCTCGCCGGCACTTTGCTAAGGGCAGAGCATTTCATAGGCCCAGACCTCCGCCTCCAAGCTATGACTGATGGAACCTTCTGTCTAGTTACTAGCGCTGCAACAACGGCTGTCGATAGAACTACTTATGACTCCCTTTTGATTGGTCACAGCTCTAAACCAGCTGCTTCAATCTCCTCAGGGGTAACAGGTCTGCGCTCACATGTTAGCGTAAAAACAGAAGAAGAGATTGAGTGGGGCGATCTTGACCCCCAGCTAGCTCAAAAGCTTAAATCTGATCCTGATGCCCTCCCAGCCTACAAAGCTACTAGACAACCAACTAAGCAAGCACGCCTTGATCCTTTAGCAGGTAAGTTTGCTCCCATTACCCAATCTGAGCCAGTCAACACAACCTCAGTCAACATAGAGGCAGTTACTACAGAGAATCTTAGGGATTGTCTTGAGACCTACCATACCAATCAGGTAGCCCCTGCTCTAAGACAATTGAATGATCTCATGAAATCTGACATTAGCAACAAAATTGCCTCACTCCAGACTTCAGGTCTAGTCTCCAGAGTCTCTATGCAGGCCGTCGAGGCTGAGCTCCACAAGCGCACAGTAATCATCCATGGCGTTCCCCCCTTCTCTAACAAGAAGTCTATCGACGATAATCTGTACTACTTACTGTACGAATCGGACCTCTCCATTGAAGATGTTCAATCAGTCTCCAACCACTTGTTGACTACCTCCGCAGGTTTCTTGAAGATCACTTTCCTTAGAGAACAGCAAACCAAAACATTCTTTACCTCCTTTAGGGCTAAGAAGAGATACTTCAGAACCAAGGACCCCAACAACTACGTCCCTGACTCCCCTATTAAGATAGAAAGAGACCTCTCTGTGCTTGAAAGGTTGGAGAGGCAACCTGTCCTGGCTCTCCTGGACTGCTACACCAAGGGTACCTCAGAATCCCACACCTCCCCACTATACACAGACTATATGAAGTCAGATTTTAATGCCCTCCAGATTTGGTCCCCAGATGGGGAAGAACTTGTTTCCCAGGTCCTTTACGTTCCGCAAGGCTCCACCTACATATGTCAGCTAGCCATTCAACCCCAACATAGGGAACACGTGATCCAGCTATTTCCGAAGTATTTTCAAGACCGTATGCTCCAGACCCTTAGGTTCTTGCAAGCTTATATTAGTGCTTCTAGGCACAACACTACAAAAGTTCGCTTCCACTACCAAACCCAAGATGTTTCCAATGTTACACCTGTTCAGGCTGTCTCCTTTTTCCCCTATGACATCTGTCCTCTAGATCTTGATCCTACTCTACTTCAGACCCTCAAAGCCCCATCCAATCTCCTTACCTCATATACAGGCCTTCAGCCCTTGATCCAACAAGCTATGGAAGACCACTCCATTGACCCTGAAAATTATGGTAAAGGCGCTAAGGGAAAAGTTAGAGAGGGCTCACCAGACCGTAGATCCAAGGGATCGAAATCCAAAGGCAAAGGAAGGGGACAAGAAGGCAAGTCCCAGCATAACTGGTTCTCCAACGAGGGTAAGGGAAAGCAATACTCCAACCCACAAAGTACTGGAAAAGGGTACAGCACCTCCAAGACCTCATGGTGGCAACCTAAAGAGACTCCCACACCGTGGGCCAAGTCGCGAGCCAAGGATGCGTCGTCCTCCTCCAAAGGAGACAGGAGCAGGCCAGCTCCCAACCGACGCCCGGACAATTCAGATCCGTCCCTTATCCGCTGCTCCAACTGTATGGCCTTGTTAGGCACCAACTCAGATTGTATGGATTGCCTGAACAGTGACAACCTCCAGTGGGTTCGTTCCAACTCCTTGTTTCAGGACTTGCAACCATTTCAGCAACGGGTTATTAAGGGTTTTCCCTGTCCTCTCCACAAGGATAATGGTGATTGCTGTACTGCCAATGACGACATCTATGGCACAGGACACTGTGCAGGCTGTATTGCATACAGAGCATGGATCCACAGATATTATGGCCCCACTCAAGCAGGTCACAGCCCTACTCCTAATGTTATCATGTTGGGATATGAAAGAGCAATCCTAGATGCTTTTGATGAGGGCCGCGACACTTTCCTCAAGGAGCTCAAAGAATATTCCAACCAGCTTTCCAAATACCCAGCGTATCCTTCTGACCTCATTGATTGGTTCAACAGCATCCTCTACCCCCCAAAAGATGATCCTTTGTATGATCTCCCATGGGACCTAGAATACACAAAGTTCAAAATGCCCTCAAGCTCCTTTTACCTCACCCCTGCACCTCATTTTCAGTGCCTTGGGTACCCCATTGAAGTTTGCAATGTACATGACAGCAGCAGACTCCTTACCATTTTCGCTGAGTCTTATATCAGTATCTTCCAGCCTCCCTAGTTGAAGACTATGGCCTCCCTGATTACCCTCGACATTATCCCGTGGGCCAATATGGTTAGACAAAGCTTTGCGTTTGCCTGTCGATCAACAGCTACTCCTACAATGTGGAGCACCTATGCCATCCAAGAACTTGTCTTCAAAGTTCTCCACAACGAGCATGAGTACTTAGTTGATCAATTCTCCATTCTGTTTTTAGGGGCGGTTGAGTATAGTGCATTGTTGACAGATGTCTTTAAAGGGGCAGCCCCGTTCTCAAACGAGCCATTAAAGAAGTTGGCAGCAGCAGGCTCAGCCTACTTTGACTCAGTTTATTACCAAATGACGGCTCTCCACAAAATTCAGACCAAGAAGTCTCAGCATCTCCCAGCCCCAAATGAGCCCCTGGTAGAACTGTATGACATGATTTTGGACAGAACCTCCACCTCTTCTGAACTGTATGAGCACAAGACCTCCCTTTTGTCTAGACACTGGAACAACAAAGGAAATTCTATGGAATCATTAGCACTCCTTATGGCAGAGGCCGGTTACCACAGTCTCATCATAGTTATGTCCTGGTTGGTTATGCAATTGCAATATAGAGATAGCTCCTACTCCTGGAAGGCAGAATACCTTGCCCCCTGACCTCCACTAAGGTTCGTTTCGCTGAGCCCTACAGCCATTGGCTGCAACACTTACGTTACGAAACACTTACGGTATGAGTCTCACGTTGGCTACGTAAGCTCCGATCCCTATCCCCTGTTGGGGAAAGACTCCTTTGGCACAACCACTTACGTTACGAAACACTTACGTTACGCTGAGAGTGCCCAAGTTTCACGTGGTGTCAAAGAACACCTCCTGAGCGGGGCCGTTAAGGGTGGCCTTAGTTTAGGGTTGGTTTTTCTATGTTTTGCAGGTAGAGTAGCTGCGCGCCGGCGCCCAGTGTGCCCTTTTTCCAGCAGAAGGACAAGCTCCTGGGACGCTTTCAACAAACAGGACTGTTTTTCCCAGGAACCTCTGTCCCCTTTTGAAGCAAGGGATGTTTTCACCCCTGAAGCGCCGTACAAAAAAGTGACAGCAGCCAGATTTTCTAGAGTCAAGTCGAATAAATATATGCATATTGTGAATGGAAATATAACTTATTTTCAGCGTAGAAATCCACCACCTAACACTTATTTGTGGGCTCAATCTTTCTATATCCCTAATGGAATGTGTATTTTCAAATACTCCTTTATGGTAAAGATTCAATGTGGCTTTATGCCTCACGAAGAGGATCTAGCTTTGAGCTGGAAACTACTAGGAGGGAATCTCCCACTTTGTACGGGACAGTCTGTAGAGCGGTGGCCTCCAGAGGAGGCGGGCCGGGAGACCGCTGGCAACATGTCAAGAGCCATGACAGAATGTGGCGACAAAGGGCGAGGCCCGAAAACACTTACGTTAGCCAACACTTACGTTATGATGTGCCAAGCGGCTACCAACACCGTGAAGCTCACGGGGGCAACACTCAAAGAGGATATCGCTCCATGTCAGCATACCGGAGCGCTTCCAATCTTGGAAATCCTCCAGAGTCCAAGGAAGAAGAGATTTTAGGCAATGGAAGTCCTCACTAAAGGATACCACCCTGAGGGTGCACGGTGGTCCAAATCCTAAGCCCCTGATCCACCCACGACCGACATATGTCGAAAGGTTCGTTAAATCGGCAAGGTCTCACAGTCATAATCATTATGCTACACATGTTCATTCCATGCGTTCTGTAACGGACAAATGCTCCGTTCCTATACCCACCAATACAGCAATTTTCCTCTGGACATGGAACGTAGAGGGCCTCCGTGAAACTGCTAAGTACGATTCTGTTATTTCATTCTGTAGAAACAAGAATGTCTCCTTGCTCTGTGCGCAAGAAACTAAGGCAGAGTCCTCTTGGCAGATCCTCACATCAGGATTGCCTTCTGATAAACATCATGGAGTAGGATTTTTTGTCTCCCCATGGCTAAGATCCCATGTCACCGACTTTATTCCTCACTCCCCCAGAATTGCTGAACTCACTATTATAATTGTCTACCCCACAAAATAACCGTACTCAATGCCTATGCCCCCAGTCTTGTGGATGATCCTGAGAAAGATAGGGGCAGGAAAAGTAAATTTTGGTCCCAACTTGAAGACATTGTCCTTTCCCGCTCCAATCAGTCTCATCTCCTAATTTTAGGTGACTTTAATGCTAGATTGGACCCC